AATCAAAATTCTTTTAAAAAATGGTTAATTGGTTCAAACAGAGTTATAGCCCACATCAAGAGCTACAATTTTTGATTTACGGTTTTCGCCTAACTGAGATATTTAATCATTTTTTCTTCATCACATTTTATCACTATGTTTCGGGCTCTATTTAGACACGATTATTTACTCGAAAACCATTTACTCAATTGCGAAAATTCGTAGCCCACGATACGTGGATGATCTAGGGTTACAACCTCTCATACGAACAATTTATGAATGCGCGTGAAAATATCCATTTTTTTGCAAACTTTTGGTAGCAAAAGAAAGACGGACAAACATGGGATAATTTCGTTTAAACAGTATCGTGAACTGAATGTGAAATATTATGATACATAGCTATCACCGCTACAACTTTGTATATTTACCAAAGTTTGCAACTTTGCAACACTTTCGAGTATAGGGAAGCTAATATAGGGGATGTATTTGATGCCGTTTAAAGAAATAGTGTAAGTGTAAAGAAAAAAGAATGAATCGTTTCTGGATTAGGAGCAATAGTTGTCATGCTGGTTGTACAACTTTTTTCAAGTAATTCAAAAACAAAAAAAGTCGGCATATACACCTATTGAAAATTAACTTAACTTAAACTTAACCATAGCTATAAAAAATGACAAAATATGCATGGTGTGCATGGTGTGCAACATAACTTTTTAAATACGACAACCATTTGAAAACGAATGTTAGCGCATCTCATAATTGGGGGTAGTTTTATCTCTTCCCGACCGTTTCGAGGAATATATTTTTTAAAATAAGATAAAAAACGAACTGGTCCGCTATAATATTTGCAAATCCGAATCCGAGAGTGAGACAGGTTTCCGTTTTAATAAGTTGTAACCAAGCGCCTTTCATGAATCCGATGGCACGTACAGGTGCGGGAATTATTTGGGCTACTTTAAACACTTATTCCTCATCAATTTCAATTAGAATCGAAGTGTTAACGGCGTGAAATTGTCCGGATGGGTTTTCGCAAGGTTATTTTTAAGCTTGGGAAAATAAACGCGCGCATTCTAGTGCGTATTAGAATAAAAATAAAATTGCGATTTGCTCGTGGGAATGTAACTTCAATGGGTAATTGCGGTTTTCATTACAGGTCGATCTGCATTATAGTATTACTACGTAGAGTTTCTCTACAAGACTGTCTCGTGCACTATTGATACCGTTTTTAAATTTTAGATGTGGGTTATTAGATGTAATATATACGGGGCGTTTAATTAACAACGGGATTGAACTGGCGATGGAGACAATTAAATTTAATTTTTTAACGGGCATTAAGAAGCTACGCGGTGTCAATTATTTAAACAATTTTTTTACTGAAAGCTTATTGAAATATCATATCTACTTCAAAATATGACAAAATTTAACAAGTATAGAATAATCACTACTATGACATCGACAAATTTCAAATATTATACCCAAATAATCCATTCACAGGTTCACAAAGCTTCTGAAAAAAAATCGTAATAAATTTATTTAGGTTCCCTATACTATAATTTTAAGAATTTTAATAGATGTGATTTTTTTGACTAGTGATAATTACATATAGGTACTGTAAGCACGCAAGTCATTTACCGCATCATTCTCAAGGCTTCAAAAATTTTTGAAAAATTGACGACAAAAAAGAAATGCAATTTTAACTTTCATTTCATAATAACACATAATACTATTATCTGGGCCAATGGCCATTATCTAATTCATACTATCTCCAGTTGCTAATAAAGCGTCCTATAGTTAGAATAAGGTCTTTGTCTAGTTTATATTTATGAATAATTAATTATCAGCATTAAATACACTATTCCTGAATCGTTATGTACCTATTATTTTCATCATATTTCTGGGAGTTAAATAAATGTATTTAAGAATAACATTAACGAGTATTAATTACAATTAAATTGAAAATTTTCAAAGCATAAGCGTAAGTATCTATTTAAAAATGTGTCAAACCCAAAATTAATTAATTTATCAAATTATAAATTCACAACCGTGCAATTTTAATATATGTATATTTAAAATTACAAAATTAAATTAAACTATAAAATTAATCCTACTAGGCAAACATGAATTAGTTATCTAAAATTAAGTTTCTGGATTCTCTAAAATATATCTCGACTACCTTAATTTTATTTATATACATAAGAAGCAGATTATAAAATGTTGCCTCCAAATATCTGTATTAGTTTGATAGTTATTGTTCATTAGTACTTGCCTGTAAGAATATTTATGAATGTATGTATAGTCTGTTTCAAACTTCGCGTTGGCTTTCGGCGGACCCTCTCCAATAAAACTTTAAGGATGTTATTGGCTATTGTTATTGGATAAAGCCATTAACAAAATATTTATTCTTAGTTGAGTGATAGGCAGGGGTGGGCCAGGTATATTTCTTTCTTTCTGATCTATTTCTTCAGTGTTGACCACTTGTGGCAGTACCTAAACAATCGTTTTTACTACGCGTTTCGAAAGAGTGATTTTACGAGAACATAACAATGTCGGGTCGAAATAATTTTCAAACTTTAGTCGTAATTGCAAAGAATATTAAGCATTCTAGCTTGGATTATGATAAGGACACAAGTGCCGAACTTTTTGAAAAATGGTTTGAAAGCCACCACGATGAAGATTGAGACAGACTTTACATGTATTCGAGATAAACAATGTACTAACACTAAGTGATTTCGATTTGCATTGTTGCACTGTGTCTTACTTTATTTCTCCTATTCGAGGGTAAGTAAGAGCTTTTTTTGGCCACCTTGTGATTTCCATCCTCATTACGTGTCAATATCATATTCGTTGTCTGGTTTCTATTGCTTCTGTCGTAGTGTAAATTCTTTTTATTCTCCTATTAACTCACCGTTAAGGATATGGACACTGTACTTGCTTTTCTGCGAAACTGAATTTCTGCATGATCAATTATTTTTCTGTTCTTGATTGATAGTCGGTTTTGTATTCAAGTTAATCTCACTGGACTAAAGTAGTTGATTAAGCATTCGTACACAGTTCTTCTCTAGTTAAACCCTATACTCTATGTATATCTTTATCTGATGTTGCTTCTCTTAATACCATGCCCTTATTTCTCTCACTGGTACCTCTGCTATATGTCTTTTTCATGTTCTTCCGTTAGTTTACAATCGTAATACTATTTACAAATCTTCTGGATTCTTCTTGCATGGGTTGTTGATGAATCTGACTTGCTGACATTCCGGCAATCATCCCGCTGGTTTCTACCGAGTTTGTCTGTACCTGTTTGTATGCTGTATGAGGAAGGCGGAGCTAAAGAGAATATGTCTCGGATGACTGATTTCCATATCGGTCAAAATTCGCTGTTAAGATTGTTTCGTTGTTTAGAATTTTTTATAGATTCTGCGATTTTTGGTAGAAGAACTGATTTCATGCAAGAACTTTAATTTTGTCCAATAAGATTCGATGTCCGGTTTAACAATTTTGGCCGTCAACTGCTGATGAGTTTATTGGTCGTATTATTAAGCCTCTTTCGTGTTCTTTTCAACTAGTTGATATTTTTCTTTCCAATGCATTCATTGCCGCATACGACGTTGAGAAGACGTTGAGATTTTATTTGATAAATGGTAAATTTGGTTTTATCAATTTATTTCTTAAGAACATTGGATATGTGGTCAGCAATGATTATAAAAATATCCAAACAACCAAAAAATCGTAACCAAGACTTCATTTATATGCGATGCAATGTTCATGTACATGAGCGGGTACAGAGTAGAATGCACACCAATTTCGGTTAAACTCTGAAGAAGCCAACAGGATGATTGGAGAAACGTCAGCAAAGTTCGATTCATCAACAACCGATGCACTGGAAATCGAGAAGATGTTAAATAAAGTTCTCCATGAATATTCTCTATAATAGTAAATTAATTTAGCTCCTTAAAACTAGTATAAAATTAAATTGGAATATAAATACAAGGCTGCTGTTAGTGAAAAGCTACCAAAAATTCTTTTAAAGTTTAAAAATGTTTTTCTCCATACAAAAATGAAGTTTTTTATTTTATAATGTATAATATTTTATAGGAAAAAGTTCAACGAAGTTTTAAATATTGAACAATTAGTATTTTTGTTGCGTCTTGTTACTGTTTTGAGTTAATTTAAATCAATAAAAAGTTATAATTAGCAAAGCAGGAGGGTAGACACAAGCTCCAAAAGGAAACTAACACAATAAATTCCTGCGCATTAACACAAATCAATCATCAATTGCAATTACATAATCAGCCATTAATCTATAATGGTCAGTCAACATTTACGTTCCACTAATGGAGCCATTTGGTGGCAAACAATTCGGAAATGATAACGAAAACTCTCGAACGCATAGTGCGTTATTCTAAACTTCTGTGTCTGCTCCCATCTTACGATTTTCGAAAGAAAAGGATCGTTCCCAGCTTTCTGTGTGCGTTATCGGCCCTGCTTCACGTGATTCTGCCGATCGCAGAATATATCATCATGATCAGGACGATCATCGACGCTCCCAAATATAATAAAGACGATAAAATAATGTTTTGGATACGAATCTTCGTGAGTGTAGTCACATCGGTAACGACAATCACGGGGGTCATCCAGTCGCTATATAGGCGTCCATTATGGAACCAATTCTTCCGGAAACTCACCAACTTAAAGTTTAACATCGATATCAGGCACTTGGACCGCAACAACTGTATTATGGTTTCGGTAGCAGCGATCCCGATGCTTTTGAGTTACGTGATTTTATGGTATATCATGGATTATCGAAAAATTCCGATCAATCTGTATTGCCACTTCCTTCAGTCCTTGATCGTCGTTATATTTATAAACTTCCTTAAAATCGTATTGTAAAAACTAAATGAGCTGAAGTGTGCTGCAGAACAAGTGAGATCGTCGATCGATGTGAGACGACTTAGACGTTGCCAGGGAATTTACAGTGAAGCGGGCGAGATAGGCGAGATGATCAACTGCTTATATGGTGCGAACGTGTTGATGATATTCGCCAACAATCTAGGCCGCCTCTTGTACTTTCCATACAGACTGCTGCAAGTTTACTTATACGACGAGAACCCCGTTCCTTATTTGATGCAGTTGGTGGTCATGACGATTTCTTCTCTGGTAAGTAATTAATCGACGCACACATTGTCAAAGGATAATCATTTGGTAATTGTGATATTTTAGGGCAAAAGCGAATTAATAATAACAATAATAATATTTATTGTCAACCCAACCCTTTTCCGGGATATCATAAGTGTCGAACCAGGCTTCATCCAAGTAAATAATTGGCGTTTGTTGTTCTCTGTAGATCCTAATTTTTTCTAGATATTCCAGTCGCCATTTCCGAATTCTAAAAGATAGGTAAGGTAGTTCTGCCGCATTTAACACCGGTTTTATCTTTTTCAAGCATCCTAATTAAGATATCTAATGTACGCACCATTTGCTCCTCGTATAACTGGTAAATTTTACGCCGTATTATATCTTATTATTCACAATTTTCCATACAGTTGATGTTGGAATTTTCGTCAATGTGGCCGTTTCTTCTAAAGATGCGTGCTTGCTGGCACCACGTTCAATGAGAGCTAAATAAACCTTGTTTATAACTTCCCTAGTCTCAATAGAATAGTGTTTTCTACATTTGGGTGGGAGCATCTACTGAGATACACTAGACTCGCACATATTTTGCATAATTTGCACACGATTCAACACACGCTGTATTACACACAAAATAAGAATGATTACTAATAAACTTAAGCTTAGTAGTATACCAAACCAAAGAATATTAGACACAGGTAGGTATAAAATTATTTTCTATTACCGACCACAATTTTACCTTAATTTAAATTCCGAAACTTTAGGTAATAATCTTGTTGCACTGTATGTTAATGACCACCGTTGGATAATCCCATTCAAAAGCAAGTGGTCACTTTCTTATATTTATGAACAGACCATAATTCCATAATTGTGGGGCAGACTGTACAGTTATTCTCCGAAGAAGCCAACAGTTTTTGTTTTATTTATAAACAACCTATTCAAGAGGAATATGGAAGATTTGTAAATAGTATTTCAATTTTAATTTATTATACAATTGCAATTATAGTTGTAAGTTAACTAGTTAGTAATTAGGGCAAATTCTTGAATAATAAATTTTGAAAAAAACAGTCAAGGTGTTACTTATGTAGTTTAAACTTGCAAAAAATTAAAACAACTGAACGCCAGACGCTTCTCAAAACAATCGAGAATTTTAATTCGGCCGAGTGTCCAGAAGTTTTCTTTATCCACAAACCCCGGCCAGTAAAATTAAATTTTCTACTCGTCGGTGACGTTAAAATCACAAATTCCGGAACAGAAACAAACCGGCTGACCGCACTATTGTTTAAACTCAGTCAGTTGATAGTATACCGTTATGAAATCTACAGTCTCAAGTTCGATTGAACGCCTCGTGCGTTTTTCAAAGTTTTGTTGTCTTCTTCCCCCTTACGATTTTCGGAAGAAAAGGGTGGTTCACAGTTTCCTGTGCTCCTTGTCCGCCTTGCTTCACGTCGTGTTACCCTCTGGTTCTCTCGTATTATTCTTCCGAGCGATCCTCGCCGCACCAAAAAACAACGTAGATGACAGAATAATATTCTGGGGTTACATCGGAACGAAGGTCATCGCGGTCGTGGCAGTACTGGTGACGGTTATCCAGACCCGAGCCAACACGCTCTTATGGGAGGAGTTTCTGGAAGAGACGTCCAACGTTAAATTGATGAGTTCCAGTTCGTATCACAGCCACGTCGATCGTCAAAACTTGATTATGATTCTACTCGCCGCGTTCCCCGTGATTTTATATTACGTGGTCTTCTGGGGGAGCACCGATTTTCGATACGCTCTGATCGGCTGGTACTGCTTCTACTATCAGTCGTTGTCGATCGTGGTGTTGATAAATTTTATCGAAATCGTGCTGTACAAATGTCGGGAAATGAACTACAAGCTGGCGCGAATCAGACAGCCGATCCGATTCAAGGCTTTGACGTCTCAGAAAACTTATGACAGGCTCAGCGGCACCGTGGGGAAGATTAATCGCTTGTTCGGGCCCCACATCTTGATGGTGTTCATCTCCAGCATGATTCGTCTTTTGGCGTACCACAACAAACTGGTGGGGGTAGTCGTCAACGAATGGAACATCCCTAGGGGGTTGTCGATGGTGTCTCTAATCGCGGGTGCTTTGGTAAGTCAGTCCGGTACTGACTCGTGGAACAAATGTTTAAAAAAAAAACTTACGTCAACCAAAAACGGAAGATTTTTAATTTCGAAGAAATATCAATCCAAAGGCTTTGCGAAATTTAATTCAATTAATAACACAGGTCGACAATTTTTAAACTTTATTTAAATTTATATAAATTTAAATCTTATAAGAATTTTCCTCTACCACGTATCTTTACCAACATTACAAGGAATAATGAATGAAAATCTCGGTTGATTAAAAATTATTTTTATTAGTGCAATAAAAAAAACCGAATTACAAAAATTTAAGTTTAATAACGCAGTCTCGAAAGAGTGAATTTACTTTTGGAAGATCTCTCCCGAAAAACTTTGGTGGATGTTTGGCCGGGTTGTCCATTATTAATGACCTGCAGTATAGTTCGCCCAACTATATACCGTTTTTAAGACATAATCCGGTATTCAACTTTGGTAAATTTTTATGAAGTTCTAAAGGCAGGATTACTCGCTTGGGTTTCTCTTTGTGGTTCCTCGATTATTATTACTTCATGCAGTGAAAAATTTATATATACTTTAAAATGTTTAGTATATATATATTAATGAAGGAGTAAATTTAGCTGTTGGAATATTTATAAAAAAACGTTATTCTGCACTCGTCCCGCCTGTAACATTTTTTTCTTCGATGACCTGTTGTACACATTTTTTCCACTTAAAAGCATATATTTTTTCTACTTCACTTCTAATTAATTCAATTGCCCCAGAACTAAATTTCGGTATCTCAATAAAAATGGCACACTGAGACTTGAAAAATAATTGAATGACAGTAAGTTGGTAATTACTAATTACAAATACAGGACTTAATCGAATTAACTCCAAAGCTTCGAGGGCTGTTTCATAAAACTGACGGGATACTGCGATTTCACCAATCCCAACCAATCAACCAATAGCAAACGGGGAACACATCCATTATCAATCAATTGTCTACATAAGATTTTAACAATTATTTACCCTCTGCAATAGGAGACTATGTCACAGTAAAATTGGATTAAAAGGTTATTATTATTAAAAGGTTATTATTTCAAGTCGAAAATATGTTCCTACAACCAAGCATTGCTTGTAAACGACTGACACTTTTGAGAGAATACATGAAAAACCAGAACGACAGCTTTTCATTCAATTCAGTAATTTTGGAAGAGATTTCAATATTTAGTAAAGGAGCGTCTAGAAAAAGCTGGCAAGACGATTCTCTACAAACAGTTCGGAAAAAATATGATTAAGGAGTTCGCTGCTGTCCAGACGTGAGTGTGAAAAATTCCATTCCATTTTCATAAATTTCTCTAATACATCTTCTACAATGTCTTTGCAATTTGGATATTTGTTCTTTCCTAGAAAAGATTTTATAACACCAGTAAATTCAACCTATTCAGATTCGATCATGGCATTCGCGAAGTCTTAATCATCCATTAATCGTCTTATTTGGGGACCCACAAAAATTCGTTCCTTCAATTTTGCCTCTGAGAGTGGGAAATTTTCCACCTAGATGTTTAAAACATCCTTATTTAAAACTTTAACGTACTGCTGAAGCAGTACGTTCATCGGTCCTAATTTAAGAAAATTTTTTGTTGATCAATAACATTATCGGGAATTAAATGAAACCTTTTTGGCAAGTTCTTGTTCCCTGATGACGCTGCCTATTTCTACTGTCCCATTCACACTTCGTATATACTGACTCCTATCGTAGTCGAAATCTTACAATTTTTAAGTATCCATAAATCATCGAACTGTAGTCCTTGTATTTGATTTTCTCAAGTAGTCTTTGGTTTGCACAAAATGAGCGACAGTTACAGAAGCAAGAACATTTCCATTGTGCAGAAGAACAGATTTAAGGCTTCTCAGAAACACATAAAACAACCACAACAAATAGCAGCGCACTAATTACATCCCATAATTGGCCAAAACTAAAATTGTTCATAGCAATAATAAATAAAAAACAAAAGGGAGGTGAGACGAAAAGAAAACGGAAATTGAATTGATTATTCTTCAGTTGAGACTATAGTTAAATTCTCAGTGTGTCAAAGTTAACAACATAAGTCAGCAATTTCTGCATTATATTTATTGAAATGCGAATTATACCGTGGAATAAAAAAGAGATTCCATCCAGCAGAGACCGACAGTCTAAAGAATTATTAACCACGCAGTCTAACCTTAAGAGACTTTATGTGAAACATTCCTCTTGGAAGATGATATTCATACACGTTGCACACACTGTTCAAACTAGAAGTCTCATTTTCGTAGATATTCAAATTACAAATTTTTATTTACTCAATTACGAAAAGACAGAACTTTTGATTTGGCAACATTTAGCTTCAGAAATTCCTCATAGCAAAACTGAACAAATAACTGGCGAGAGATAGCAACAAAAACTCTACACCTGTAGCCTCTATATTCAGCAAGGAGTTGCCAAGGTAGGATTCCATAAAAATCAATAAATCAATTGAAATTTACGAATTGCCTGATGATATTTTGTAAACTTTGCACTTTAAAACATGACTGAACGTAAAAAGTAGCTCCCCTTATCTCAACACTCAAAAGCTAGAGGCTGCGATTCCTTAACTGCTGCCCTTTTTTATAGGTGCAACCGCTAGCCGTATGCTACTACTGCGATCTGGTTACACGAGAAACGCGAAAAACCAAGCTCATATGCTTCAAGCTACAGTTGGAGTCCACTGGGGATGAGGAAGAACTTCAATGCCTAATAAGTCTTTTAAATAACAACCCGATTACGTTCTCTGCCAGTGGTTATTTCGTAATCGACCGTTCCACGATGTCTTCTTTACTGACCATCGTCGGCACCTACTTCGTAGCCATATTGCAAATTAGAAATGGCCTCTAGGTTATTGTGTTGATGTTTGTATTATCACTACGTAAAAATCATAATTAATTGATTGCACCAATTTTGAAACTCGCTAAATACTACTTGGATCAAAAAACGCTTAGCTGATCGATACTAAAAAAAAGATAAAACAAAATGAAAAGGCACGAATAACAAAAAATGGTATTGCTGTGCTAGGTGGTTTTTGGTAGTTTAAACGCATGGTTTAAAAACTCTATGTTTTATTTCACTATAATCTCCAGTGTTCACAACTTTTTATTGTATTGTATTGAGAATACTGCATCTCATGAGCTTTAAAGTAACTTTATAGTTGAGGATGCACTTATTGCTGTAATGTTTATTATTTCGAATGTTAGAACAACTGAAGCCTTCTTCAAAAGCAGTTCGGGCTCTTAATTGACATTGTGCGAATCAGATCAAAATTGTTATACTTTTTTTCTGTGCTATTAGTTTAGTTTCTTTCAAAGATGATAAAAAGGCTCCATTAACTTCAGTCTTAGACATGTTTCTAATTCAATAAATAGATGTTGCAGTGAGTATGTTGTGCTTTTTAAAGGTCTCCTACAACTAGCGTCATAAGACAGACTTCCTGTTTTATCAAAAATTATCGAAAAGGTAATGGGACACCAAATCCTTATTCACATGGATACCAACGCAGTTTCCCTCAAACTGATACGAATTTCATGCAGGGTATGACTAATGTATACCGTGTGACAAATAAAACGATCCACTATAAGATCTGGAAACCCATAGGAGATTGGGAAAAAAATCGTACAAAACTTTCTTGGATTGTCGCGAAGATTTAAAACATTATAATTCTATTGATACAGGGTGTCCCAAAAGTGCCCCCCCCCCACAATAACTATGTTATTTTAAACGGAACACCCTGTATATTTGGTTAAAATAAAGGTAACTTTTTAAGAAATTCTTTGCACAATATATACTTCACAATTTGATAAATACTTGATGCATTGTACTAGTTGATGATATGCATTACGCAGATGTTATACAATCGCAACTATTATTTATTCCTGAAATAACTCAGATAGCAAGGCACCATAAATTACAAATTAACCAGTCAAAAACTTTTCCATAATTATTCAAATAATTTAGGCGAATAGATTAAATTTTAGTGGATATATTACCAGCAAGATCGGTTTGGGCTATTGGAACTTCAAAATGCTCTATTCGTTCTATGGTATGAATCTATCAGTTTTCTGTTGGAGAAGCAATGGCCTGTAAATCTGAGGGAGTCTGTAGAGACGAGGAATTTTTGTTTAAGTTGACGATATAATCCTTCTGTAACAGTATCTTGAATTTTTTCCTGATCACTTTTTAGGATTCCGATGTTGGGAGTAGATTTTAGAGATTTTAGAGGAATCTGTCCAGGCTTTGGGATCTTAGATTGTGGAGGTTTTGATATTTTAACGATTTTTGCGGTTTCATATCGAATTTCATTAGCTGCTTGAGATGGCAATTTGTTTAGGACAGAGTCGACTTTTGAAATGATTTCTTCTTTTGGGATAATAAGTTGGAACCTTTTGCAAGAACACTGTTTTTTTCGGGTCGGGAGGTTGGTGCGACGATAGTTAGTTTTTCAAATTTTGAATGTGATTCTGGGTAGGCTACTGTAATTTTATTGATTGCTAACGTTTCGCCAATCATCCTGTTGGTTTCTTCAGAGCTTAACTAAAGCAAGTTCGACTCAACAACAACCGATGCATGCATTTGAAAAAATAAGATGAAAAATATATTTTATTCTTTCTCATAAAAAAATTAGTGAGTGGGTAATAATATTATCATTATTATTCGATACATGACTGTTCCCGTCTCGCGCTCTCAGCATTGAACATCGTGGCCCAATGTGCACGTTCCATACAAACAATCAACGTAAGCAGCATAATTAATAAGTTTCCTTAATTGCTCGATATCGATTTGTCATTTCCACCAACGTCATTACACAACTGAAAACACAGTCCACCACCATGAGGTCCTTGAAGTCGATAGAGCCCCTAGCGAATTTTGCAAAATTTTTCCGCTTGTTCCCAGCGTATGACTTCAGAAAGCAGCGCGTTTACAAGAGCTGTTTTCTCTCCACACTATCTCTGGTACAAGTAGTGTTGGCCACGACAGGCACAGCCCTGTATATCAAAAAACGTCTCGCAGAGACTCTTTACGATAAGCAATACGCGATACTAATCTGGAGTCTTATAATCAATAGGTTTTTGGAGGTTGTCAACTTGCTCACGCTTCTTTTTTCGACGGAAATGAGAAAATCTGCGTGGGGAGAGTTGCTTCGCAAGATAGCCGCCTTGGACGCGGAAAATATCCCAGTTGTGCACAAAAACGTAAACCTTGAAAACGTTATACTCAATTTGGTTGCTGTGTCTCCGGTTTTGCTCGTCTTTTACGTCTACTGGAACGAAGTTGAGTTCATTGACGGCGTACACCTCTATTGCTACTACTCGGTGTCCCTGTTCGCTATCGTCTTCGTGAATTTTGTGAAAATAGTGCAAAGCAATCTTCGAGAAATCAACGTGCGTTTGAAGCGATCGCCGATTACATCCGATCGTCTACAAGAGTGCGCGAAGATTCATTTCAGATTGTCAGAAATCGCTCATGGAATTAGCTCCGTATTTGGTCCTAACTTATTAATTATTTTCTTGATGACCATAGGTTATGTTCTTGCGTTTCAAGGGACATTTCTTCAGGTGTACGCTGAAGCACGGGAGCAAGTGTTGAAACTAATAGTGATCTTTTTGATGATTGCTATCAGTATGGTAAGTTTTGATTAGTCATTTAGCAATTATGTAAAGCGTTTCAGGTTTTAGATAACTCCGATAACGTTGTGTTATTGCTGCGACGCGACTGCAAGAGAAACGAGAAATACCCTCTTGATCTGTTTCGAAATTGAGCTGCGGCGGACAGATCTTCATGAGGACGTTAAGACTCTCTTAAGGTCGATTGGCGACAACAAAGTGTCGTTTACGGCCTGCGGGTTCTTCAAAATCGATCTGCCCACGTTGTTTTCCTTACTGTCACTAACAGAGGGTTATTTTTTAGCAGCATTGCAGTTTCGACAACTCTAGGCATTTTTTTATACTTTCGTTCACAAAAGTCCACAAGTAATATATAATAACATATAAAATAAAAATGTAATAAAATGTTATAAAGAACTTAGGATGCACAATTTGTAATTATTTTAAAATTATTAACATACTTTAACACTCACGGTTCCATAACTTTTGTCCGCTTATGGGAGGTGTATAATATATTAATATTATATATATAATATATAATATATTCTTCCTCTGAGTCATTTGGACTACCTTCTTCAAGTGGGCCGCGGCTTTCTACATCCAATTTCGAAAAGTTGTCAACGGCATTTTCTTCTGTTATGTAATCGTCTAAGGTCATGAAATCATCTACATTCTGGATTTCTGTTACTCCTAAATGTTTTGCAAGTGTCGCTAAGGGCAGATCGTCTTCAGGATCGTAATAATCTTGTTCAGTAAATTCTGAGCTACATTCACTTTTTCTGAATCCAGCTTGGCCATAACAATTCTGAATGGTCGAGGAATTTACTTTATTTCATGCCGTTTTTATAAAATACAAAGCTTCTAACACATTGATATACTTTGTAAGCTCAGACAAGCTTTGAACATCTTAAGTTTTTGTTAAAATATGTTTCAAAATCAAGTGCCGATAATAAAATTTGAAGTTTTTCTATGATAGTTGAATCCAAGTGCTGACAAACTGAAGAGAGCATGCATTGTAAAAAAATAAAGAACTTGTCTTTTTACCTTTTTTTGATTCCCATTTTCCGGTCCAATTGGAGCAACCACTCGCACATGATTTCTCGGCTCATCCATACTTTTTTATTGCATTTCCAAGTCACAATCAAATCGTATTTTTCACCGTACCATACTTGCACAGAATAAAATGGTTCGTTTGTCTTTAGACAACTTTCTTCTTTGAGACACAGAGTTTTGTCGGGCAATGCACTAAAAAAAAGTCCACTTTCATCTGCGTTGTACACATCTTCTGGTTTGTAGCCAAGCAACACGGATGGAAGTTTCTCCAAAAACTGTGACACATCAACTTGATTTACTGCAGCAGCTTCACCAGATATGCATTTAAAACTCTTGCGCCACTTTTTGCTGTAGCCCAAAGTAGTCTTTCATTTTCACTGACGGCCCTGAGATTGGAATATTCTGATTTCTAGCTTTCACAAACCACTCAAAACATCTTTTGTCTATAGCAAAACCTTCTTTTTTCAAAAAATCCTTTTGATTTATATTAGTTCCAGATTGCTATTTACTTCTGATATCTCTCTTATTTTTGGCTATTTCAGCTACTTGCGTGTTCCCAATATTAAACCTCTTTGCGTTAACAACTTCCATCTTTTCCATTAACGAGAGAATCCTTTTTTTCGGTGCCATTTTACGGAAAATTATAAAATAACTCCAATATCAACTACGAATCTAATAAAAAACTGGAAATTACTGAATTTTATGTGGATCCATTGTAATAAACGGAACTAAAAAACGTCCGGCTATTAGAAAAAATCTAGTATCCGCGTCCGTTATCGGAATGCATTCAACATTGAAAAAAAAAAGCCAAATTTGGTTCCGGTTAAAAGAGACGTCCGTTTATAGGAGCTGTCCGCAAGGAGAGCTTTCATTGTACCTATATTTAATACTTTTACAATATTTAACTTTCTTATATTAGTTGGCCATGACAAATTAGCCAACATTATTTTATTCTCATAGCGGTAGATAAAGCAACAGTCAATTATTAGCAATTTCGGTGAAAATAACTCCCAAATTTAAGAATCATATAAAAAGGAAATAATTTAATATTAGTATGGCTCAACTAATGTTCAGAAATATGCCCTTGTACTGGGATACACATGTTCAATCTTTTTCGTATATTTGTTACGACATTCCTTAGTCCACTAGGTGTCCCGAATCCTATTTTGCATACCTTCTGATGCTGTAGGGGAATTTTCCTAAATTCGATCTTTAACATATCTCTCCAAAAAGAAATAAAGTGATGAATGAATCCATCTCTACCGATCCATTTCTGTGGGTGATAATTATTAAATTTGCTTGTAATCACTATTTAATTCTTTCGAAATTCTTTGGAATTCCTCTGTAATAAGTTGGAATTTTAATTTGCCTTCGCCTTCATAGTGTTTTAGGATAATTGTTTTTCTATTCAATTTTCTTCTTCTTCTTCTTCTCGTCCTTCTCCTAACGGAGGTTGGATATTATCATGGCTATTCTAAACTCGTTAACAGCTGCCCTGAATAGCTGGTTTGATGTCGTTCCAAACTATTCCCTTAAGTTTTTGAGCCAAGAGGTTCTTCTTCTTCGTTGACTCCTGTTGCCCCGAATGTTTCCTTCCATAATGTCCTGTATATTTAGGTCCTCTGATCACGTGGCCAAAGTATTGCAATTTTCTTCTTTTTAGAGAGTTAATTATTTCCTTCTGTTTCTGGGTTCTCTGTAGCAGTTCCAGAT